ACGCGGTGCAGGACGCGCGGGGGAAGCGCAAACGACGCCAGACCGCATGGCGGACGCCCTTCGCCAGCAATGGGCCAGGGTTTTCCGGGCGCGAGGCGTCGACGAGGAGACGCTGACCGCGCGGATGGGTGACGACGCGGACGCCCGCCCGCCATCGCACCTCGCCCCGCCCCCCGCCCGAAGCTTCCGGTTGAGACAAAACACATCAGGCAGGCAATCCGGAGCTCGAACAGCTCTTAGCCAGGGCCAGACGGTCTTCCCTTTCTGGCACGGAGGCAGGTCGAGGGATTGGCCACGAGCGCGCTGTACGAGGCCTTCGGGGACATCTGCGGGGAGGGCGCGGCTCGTCGGCTCCAGGAGAACGCCTCGGACTTCAATCATAGCCTCCTCTTCTTCATCCCGAAAGGCTCGCTGGAGCAGGCCGAGAACGGGGAGCTGTTCCACGGCGTCTCGCAGGCGAGGCCGCTGAACGTGACCAACGCGGACAACCGGCTCCTCGCTAATGCCGCGAGGCTGCTTATCGAAGTCGCGGTGGCCGCCAGGATCTCTCCTGCCCAGCGCGGGCTCTTCCCAGGGCGGCCCATGCTTGCTAACATCGTGGACGTCGACCAAGAGATGACGGCGCAGTATGTGGAGGGTTCAGGAGCACTGGCCATATATTTCGACTTCGAGGCCGCCGTCCCGCCCTTGGAGCACGCTTTCCCCGGCACTTCGGCTGGCCCGACTGGCTGGCCCGCTTTGCCCAGGCGCTGTGCCAGGGCAACTTCTGCGACATTGCGTTGACAGGGAACGAGGTGCGAAGGTTTCGCGCTCACCCGCGGGGCGCGGCAAGGCTGCCCGCTGTCGCCGTTACTTTTCGCCATCGCCTCTGAGCTGCTACTGCGCCGGATGGGGCGCCTCCTGCCCGACACCACAGTCAGGGCTTACGCGGGCGACCTCGCTCTCGTAGAAGCCCAGGCTCTCTCGAGGCCCCCAGCACTCCACAAGCTGCTCGAGGACTGCGGGCTGGATCTCGGGCCTCCGCCTCAACTTCAAGAAGACTGTGATCGTGTCGCTCTTCGCTTACTCGGGCATGGAGCTGCGGCAAGACATAGCCGCAAAGGCGCCTGCATGGGGGGCCATGTCGATCAAGGACCAGGCCAAATATTTCGGCTTCATTCTGGGCCCTTGGGCGGACGAGGCCAGCTGCAATTGGAGAAAATGCTGGAGCGCGCCAGGACTTGGAGCGGGATTGGGATCCGCTTATCTCATACGTGCGAAGCCTTCCGTGTCTTTGTAGCCTCGGTGGTGATCTTTGTTACCCAGCTGCGCCCGCTCCCTTCTACGTTCGACCAGGTCGAGAAGCGAGTCTGTGCCAAGCTGTTCCCAGGGCCGGTTTCTTGGACGCGGCCAGACGCATGACCCGACTTCGGGCGTTGGGCTTCCCTTGCGAACTCATGGACGCGCGCTGCGCCGCATCGGTCGCGCAGGCCAGGGTCTGCTATGGGGAAGTTTTGCAGCAAGAAGGGCTTCAAGTTCTGCCCCGGGCAGCGCGCCTCCGCCGCTGCCTGCTGGACCGCGACGATCCTCTTGCGTTCTCACCTGCAGTGCAGAAGTGGTTGGACAACAACTCCCACTTCGTGCTTGAAGCGGCGGCGAACAGGGTGAACCAGTTAGAGCATCGATTGGGGTGGCCTCGCTCGTTCTCGGCGCCCCCAGCGACGCTGGCTCGCCGCAAGGCGACGAGGCAGGCAACGCGGGTCCGGGAGCTGTTGGCGGAGCGCCCGCTTGCTGCCGTCAGCGCTTTTCTTCGACGTCGTTTAGAGTACTGGCGCGTGGACGTCTTCCCGGGCGCGCGCGCGCGGTTTTTTGAAACACCTGGAGGTCCTAGGCCGCACGGCGGCTCCTCCCTGCGTGTTCGCTTCTGCCCTCCGCACAGCTTCGAACGATTGGGTTACCGCCCGCCGCTTTCAAGGGGGGGCGAGATGTGTTTTCGGTTGTTCCACAGGCACTGACAGTATCAAGCATTATGCGGCTTGTAGCTGTTTCCACATGTGGTGCAGCGCCGACTGCGCCCTGGCGAGGCATTCTCCCAGCGCTGCTCTCTCTTGCTTCCTGGGCCGCAGGATTTCTGCATCGCTGGAGGGCTCGGCCGCGTCATTCACCAGCGAGGAAGCACAGGCGCTCCGCGGGGTCAGTGTCTACGCGCTGTACAAAACCCATATTGCGCTTCGGCACGGGGCCGCTGAGCAGGCCGAGGCGGGGCACGTTTTCAAGGCCGCGCTCTAGGAGGCGTGCAAGGACGGCCGCCTGGGGGATCTGCTTGCTCGCTCGCGCCGTCGGCGCCGCGAGGATTAGGTCAGCTGTTGTTGTGTTGCCTCTCCCTTTCGCCCCCTCCTCGTGGTGCCTGCCCCCTCCCTGTCTATTCTTCCCGCTTGGTGTTTCATTTCGTTGTCGACGCTGTGAGTGTGATGTAGTGGCGGTGGGAATCGCCACGTGATGCCAGTTACGATGCCTCTTC